AAAAAAAGTTGTTTTTTTAACTTTTTTTTTTTTTTTTTTGCGGGGTGCTGCCGACTGCCGGACCGGTAGGTGCTGACCAGCCGATTGGTTGGCGGGTCAGCAGCCGACCAGTCAAGGGCCGCCAACCGTCGGGGGGTGCAACACTGGCTTTGAGGTTGTTGTGAAGTGTCAATTCCATGACAATACTGACAAGTGTGCTTCCACATGGTCGTTCTATACCGTCTTCACCTGGACAGAAAGTATGGCCATTATATAGCTGAATTTGGTCTACCCGTCAGTCTAGATGTAGTTATAATGTCCCAGGTAAGTCACAAATTACATACTTACGCTCCCCAGAAATGGACAAGGAGCCAGGACCATAAGGACCTGTTTCAACCAAAAGAAAAAAGGAAAGAAAGTTAATTCCATGACAATACTGACAAGTGTGCTGCCACACGGTCGTTCTATACCGTCTTCACCTGGACAGAAAGTAAGGCCATTATATAGCTGAATTTGGTCTACCCTTCAGTCTAGATGTAGTTATAATGTCCCAGGTAAATCACAAATTACTAGATGTAGTTATAATGTCCCAGGTAAGTTACAAATTACATACTTACGCTCCCCAGAAATGGACAAGGAGCCAGGACCATAAGGACCTGTTTCAACCAAAAGAAAAAAGAAAAAAGGAAAGAAAGTTATAATGACCATATGAGACGGTAGTGCAAGAATGTGTGCCCAATGACAGGGGCGAGCTGTGACTGTCTGGAATGATCTGCTCAGTGACATTATCATATGTGAGTTTGTGATCTAGAATGATCTGCTAAGTGATATTTAAGGCGGCACGCCCGTCAGTCAGGGCGTCACATGCGAGTTTGTGATCCCTATTTGTTACGAATGTCAATTCTATGACAGTACTGACAAGTGAGTCCAAGAATGTGCAGTTTCTCTTCTTTGTCCTTTTTTTTTGGGGGGGTGGGGGGAGGGGGAGTTGAGAAGGGTGGGGCATGGGCTTGACCCGGGCATGAAAAAACTCCGGGTTCCCCCCCCCCTGCCTCCCCCCTTTCCATCGGTGGGGCCCTTCTGCACCCTCTGAAAAAAGCCCTGATCTGGGATGTTTCCTGTTTTGAGTGTTGTTGGTTTTGGGGGGGAAGGGGTTATAAATGTGGTTTAAAGGGGCCTAAAGATGGGGGTTCATTAGTTTGATTTTTTCAGTTTTCTTTCTGTATCCTTGATTCAGTGAGGAATTCTGAGGTGACCCTCAGCCAAATTTGTTTGCTTTGCAATTTTAGTATTATTTACACAATTCTTTTCCAGAATTTTAATTTCGGGCTGGGTTAAGCCGACGCCCGGTCCAGACGGACCGGGCCTGACGGACCGGACCAGACGGACTGGGGGGGGTCCGCCCGGCAAAACCAGACGAGCCAAAAAACATCCCAGAATTTTTTTATTTTTTTTTTGAAGATGGGGTTGGAGTGCGCTCGCTGAGAGGAGCCCAAATCCGCAGAGCAACTTGTGAAAGGCATGTGTGTTGGGGGAGGGGGGGTGGGGGGGAGGGGGGGGAGTTGACAAGGGGTTAAAAGGGTGTGTTGCAGCGAATGGTCCATTGTCAGCATGGGGTCTTTGGAGGTCACTGTCGATGCGGGTGTAGTGGAGGTGCTTGCAACTTTTCCTTTCCCTTTGTCTGCTGCCGTTTTGCCTCTCGTCCTT